CCACCCTCCTCCTTTTCTCCTGAAGATTCAAAAGAGGAGGGAAATCATATATACCATATTTTAAGAATACGATTTCAAAATTATCAAATTTGTATAATTCTTTCAAAGATGAGATCATAAAATTTTTTAACCAAAAACTATATATATTTGGATTTATATGAAATTATTGTGACTTAAATTAGGGGTAAAGATTAATTGAGGATATTATCTTTCATCTTATCACTTCTCCAAAAAACAAGTCATAATTCTCAAATAAATATTCTCTCACAAAAATAAAAAAAATTAACTCCAAAATTTGACCACAAATTTCAACAACCCAATTTCTTTTTCGTTTTGCAGTGTCATCATCATATTCTCATTGATTAAGCAGAGATCTGTAGGTTCATTTTTGGACAATTGTTTCCGGTCACAATTCTTTGAAGTTTCTTTATAGATATTCCCATGTCATTTAACAAAATTTTCTCACTATTTTCACTTTAAATAATTTGCAAGCACCAAAAATAAAGTTTGGGGATCTAAAAATGAAGAAAACTTGACTGGAGATTCAGGTGCCCCAAGGAGTATAGATTGAGGACCTCTAGTGCAAATATTCCGATTTTTAATATCTGCGATATTGAGTTAGATCCTCGACTTCAAGAAGCCTCTTAATGATATTTTGGTGGCTACAATTATAAATGCCAGTTTTACCTAAATAAACATACTCGTATCAATGCACAGTAAATAATAGTTGACACTCCTTCAAAACCTCTAAATTGTCCAATTGATTTATTTAAAGAAGTAAATGTCTATGTCTCAATATATGGTTAGAATTCGAAAAACTAATTCATCTATGAGAATATCCAAGAAATTTTATTTATAAAGAGAATCTCATGTATAATAGAGAGTATTTTTAAATTTAGAAAGTAATTATTTATTTATTTATAATATCTATATATATAAATGATAAAAATAAAGTATTGAACTATGTCACTTATTAAGTGGAAATTTTGTAAAGTAAGAAAATATGATTTCTTTAGACTTATTTTTAAGTATTTACTTCTTAAAAATATAAAAAATATTTTGTATTAGAGTCAGTAGATGCTCTAAATATATTTGACTGTTTTTAAAAGCAGTTCTTAAATTATAATTAAGTAGGTTTTAATGAGAAATATTTTCTTATTCCGAAGGACCCATAATCCCCTCTAATCAAACTAGGGATGGCGACATAGCAATGCCAAGAATTTTCTAAAGGTGAGATATCTCTATTTTTCACGCTCGCTTATTTATTTATTTATTTTTAAACATAACTTTAAACAAAAAATGAAAAAAATAAGTGCAAGGATCATATTCTTGATCTCGACTTTGAGAATGAGACATTTTACAAACATTATATCAAATTCCACTAAACTAAAAATATGAGGAAATTGTAGAGAATGTCAATTTTTCTCAAGATATTTACAAAAAAGTCACTTTTTTTAAACATTGCAAGAATGTCAATTTAAGACATATTTACTCCTAAAGATAATTTCAAATTCCATGCATGTCCTAATTAAATGAGATTTGACCCAATGGAAAAAAATTGTACAAAAATCTTGTCAATGTCAAAAATGAAAAGTTGGAAAAAAAAGAGATGAATCTTATTTCTTTCATTCAAACAACCCTAACTCTCTCTCATTTCCCTCATTACGGGCTTCGATCCAAAAGAGAAAAATCTTGTTTTTTTTACTCAACTTTTGTAATATTTTCATCTATAAAGGGTTTATGAGATGCAAAAAAAATGGAGCTTTTTGCTGGGTTTAAAATAAGAGTTGCGGCTTGAATTAGAAAGAGGTAAAAATCCTTTTAATATCCTGTAATTTTTTTTGGACGTTTTGAATAATTTTTGGCTATGTTATGGTTGGAAATGTTTTTCCCCTACTTTTTGCAATTTCATACCATAAATTTTAATTTTTTCTTTTGTACATATCTGCTATTAGTGATGCATATATGCACATGTTACACGTGCCAACACTAATGTCGAGGGAAAAAATTATCTAGGATTCCAGTTTAATATTTATCCTCTTCTTTTACTTTCAAAGTTCAGATTCAAGTATCTTGGATGTTTCAATGTTGGGTGAAAATCTGGATTGACACTTGACATATCTTTCGTTTCAATGTTTTTGGTATTTGTGTGATGTGAAAATAACATTGCTATCACTTGAAATTCATTTGTTGTGAGCGTTACTCGTATTTGGGTTTAACTCTTGCTAGACAATTGACAAACATACATGTGGTTTTAATGTTTTGTTATGCTCGAATATGGAGTGAAATAATTTTCAATAATTCATATTTTTTTAGAGGTGAAAAGTAGATTTCCCAATAGTTCATTTGTCAACAGTTCGCTAATGTAGAGAAATGTCATCGCACTTAACTGTCGTTCCCGACAGTTAGCCTCAGTAATTCTCGACAGATGAAATAGTCGACAAATGAACTGTCGAGAACGACAGTTCAGTCCTTCCCTCCGCTCAGTTCCACAAGTCAAACTTCGGTTCATTCTAACATTGCACGAGTGTTTTGCATGAACATATATGAAATGCTATGATCTCATGATTTTTTGATTGATTTGTACGTATGTGGTTAGATTTTTTCCATCCGAACGTCTTACATGTGACTGATTTGTCCATATGTGGTTATATTTTTGTACTTTACGTTTTTATTTGTATAACGATGCCATCACCGTCACGATTCATTCTTCATAATTTTCAAATCACATGCAATTCACATATATTTTTGTGGAAGTTGCTTGTTTGAAAAATATGGATGAATTCAGATTATGATAGATTGCATGAATTAATTGAGTTATATTATGTACTATGATTGGATTGTTTTTGCACACAAGGTGAACGTTATTGCATTTCTTCACATTGTTTTCTACATGCTTTATCTCAGAATACTAATTTTACCAATGTATGATGACATATGAGTAGATTCATACTCATGACCTGAATGATCCTCAAAGTGTTGGTGCACACATTCTTGTTATAATTGGAGGTGGAATCAATCGATTTCGTTGTCAAAGAAAGAGCTACCTTCACAACGGTCTTCTTCTGATGACTGTGGCAACTGTACAGAAGAACATTTTGTTTTCTATTTATTTATATAATTTTGCATTTGTTAGTTCTATTTATGTGATATTGACAGAGGAAACTGTTTCTGTTTCATACAGAAAATGTTTATAGTAAGGAATAATAGATAGTAAAGAATAATATATTGTTTTTTAAATAGGGTCATGGAGCTACTCCATAGCACAAAACAATGGTCACATCATGTTCGATACTTGAGCAAGGTTATGTACATAAAAATGGTTTTTGGTGCATTTTATAACTTTCTTGCTTTCAGAACTCATTTAATTTATCGTTTAAAATTGGTATCCAATTGAAAATAAGCATGATTGAAATGACTATTATGATTTGTTTCAATCGAAAATGTTCGTGAATCATGGTAATATCACTAGGCATCATTTCTTGCAAAACATAATGAGCACTTCTTTGTTTGCATTAAAATATTGTGCGTACCATGTTTCAATCAAGATGAAATGGTACACATGATTTAATGTACACAATTTTCATAAATGATAGACCAAGTGTGGGTGATACAAGCACACTTAGACTTTAAAAGCATCACACTAATTATCTTTCAAATTCAATTTAAGATGTGATGAAAATAAGTCTTCATTGTCGAGTATTTCGGTCGGAGGTATATTCAAGTTAAAGACCTTAAACTTCAATTTAATTTGAGTGCGAGGATCAAGAATATCAAGTTTGTCCTTCAACATTAACAAAAGTCCGATTACAGTATTACTTGTCGGAACCAGAATATAGGTGGTTTTGTCCCCTCTCCACTTCTATTCGTCATTCGTATGAACAAACTTTCCTCCATGCACATGATGAATCTTGTGAAAGGTCAAATCAAGATTTTCCATTATTTTAAGTGTTCAATTTGACTGTAAAACTATATACCTCAAGAGTTTGTAAATGCCGGGTTCGACATTTCAAATGTCTAACCCTACGATTTATAAATGTCAAATTCGACAGTTAAACCGTTGAAAATGTCGAGAAGTAGATGACAGTGGGTGGAACAGATTCTTCAACACAACACATAAAGCGTGATAATTAGTATTGAGCTAGATGAAAAAAGTCAGATTGGCCTTGTCATTGAAGAAACATTTAATGAAAACATTATCTGATTTAAATGGAAGAAAGTACTCAAAACCTTAATGGTGATAATCACATTTGTGAAGGATTAAAAAAAAAAAAAAAAAAAGAAATCAATGAATAATAGTTTCAAAATTTTTAAATAAACATGTCAAAATTGTATTTAATATTTACAAAACAATAAATTGTAGAAGTAAAATATAAATATTTTTTAATAGCTAACCTCTCAAAATGGATTATGAATGCAAGAGAAAAATCTTCTTGATCAATGAAAATGAAGATGAGAAAAATTAGGGTTTGTAAGGGAAGAAGAAGATATATTTGTTTATGTTTCATTTTTAATTTCTTTTACTCTTTTTTATTAACACAAATTCATATTAATCAATATGATACACATTTATCTATATTTTTTATATATAAAATAAATCATCACATCAACATAATCAACTCCTTCAAATCAAGCATTAAATGCTAATGAAAATGTGTCATTAAGGGTAATTTGGACATTTCACACAAAAAAGTGATATTTTTGTTCACATAAAGTGAAAATAACAACTTTTGGGAATCTTGTTAATTTTGTGACATTTTTGAAAATCTCCCCTAAAAATATTTTCAAGTGTAAATCACACTAAATGTCAAATTTTGGATTTGCATTTTCATAAATGTCACCTTTTGAGAGTCCTTGCAAAATTGTCAAATTTGGACATTTTTGGACATTTTTGGCTATCTAAATAATTTCAATACCTTGTATGTCCAGCATTAAATGAGACATGACTTGATGAAATATTGTACAAAAATTGTGTCAAGTACCAAATAACTCAACAAAAAAATAAGGAGGTGAAATGCCCAATCCTACATTTAACTGCTGTAGCTGAACCCGTTGGAGATCTCCCCACCGTTCTTGTCGGAAGACGATGGAGCTTTTGGCGGCCCAGGCGGCGGTGATGATGTTTCTGTTAAGTAGTCTCATCCTCTCCGCCGTGAAATCCGCCGAAGACTTTGACGACGCCTCAATCCTCCAACGAAAGTAACCTGTAGCTGGGCTTTGCGCTCAACTTATCAAACCTTCTGGTTTCCCTTGCTCAGAACACAAAGTAACCTCTGTCTATGTATTAAAATTTACATTGCCGGGATCGTTGCTATTTATGTTATTGGTTTTTCTAAATCATATTTTGGTTAGTAAGAAGAATAGGTCATAATGCTGATGATCGTTTTCATGTTTTCATATTTATTTAAGGGGTGGCTTGTTGACAACATCAATCTTAAAAATCTAACCGAATTTTGAGCTTTGCGAGATTCTATCTTAAAAATCAATGTTAACTAGGATTAGCCCAAACTGTGCATTGATAATTGTTTTTATATTTAAAGCGATATTGCACATAACCATGATAATTAGGAGTTTAGAACTTAATGAGTGCCAAGAAGTGTTTTTGCTAGCAAAATGATCGTATAGCATTGGCTGTGGGAATTATATGATGAAGATAGTTTTTAATCACAAATAGATATCTACAATTCTTGTAATATTGATTTGCATTACATGATCATTAGACTGAACGATTTTATTTTTAAGCTATTTTTTTCATTTGTATGGCTAAATGATACTATTAACATAAGTGAGGTGTGTGATCAATTGTTATAGACACAAACAAAAGATGGATTCGTACAGGGACTTCAGCGTGTGTCATCTAGCTCTGGAAATCTCAGAAGACAAAGGGGTCCTCCAGTTCTGCTTATTCGTGGACTTTTTATGGTAATTCTTTTCAGTTGTTCTTTTTATTATATGGATATAACAAACTTTGAGGCCAAAAAAGAAGTCTCCTCTATATTTACTACTTTTTGTTGGCTTTGAAACGTTTCATTCATCTCATGCCTATCTTTATTATGTATTTGAACTTAATAATGCAATGTTCTTGATAAAGGGGAAGGTTTGTTTAACGTGAACTTAGCATTCCATCATGCAAATTGAAGCCATTTTTTAGCTTGATGTTCTTGAGTTCTGTCCTAATTTTGTTTTGACATTGGAATTCTGCTCTGTGCAAGTATAGCCGTATTTCTTATTTTTTACCAACACTGGGGAGTGCATGCATACAAATGCTTGCTTTTTGTGTAATTAGTTCTTAGTTCATGCTAGTCATGCATTGTCATTTTCTTTTCTTTGTAAAGTGAAAACTAGCGGTTTTCCATTTTATGGTTCTTCTACTTTGATCATATTAATGAAATTGTGTTTGCAGTTCAGTGAACATTATGTCTGACCCTTTTCCATTTACCAATTGCCTAATCCATGATTTAACAGGCAGGTGATGCATGGTTCTTGGATAACCCAAATCAGTCCTTGGGGTTTATCCTTGCAAATCGTGGTTTTGATGTCTGGGTTGGTAATGTGAGTGGGACACGCTGGTGTCATGGCCATGTATCTTTATTAGAGAAAAATAGGGTACTACTCCTTATGCTTTGAATACCTTTTTGAATAAGAATTCTTACCATTTTAAATATAATCAGAAGATGGTTCCAACGAACAAAAAAGAAAGACTTTTATGTTTAAAGGATCATTATTCATGGTACTTGCACAAATCTTTAGCCAGCCTTGGCTACTATAAGTTTCAGTTTAAGTAAACTCTCATATGATGATTCGTCGATATCCACAATATGCATTCTTTTCACAGTGATTGCTAAGTTATTTTTCAAATGAGAACATGAAAAACTCGTAGATGGGTTCAGTTTATATGGACATTTATCAACAAACGGCATTGTTAAACTCAAATCTGAGCCAGAGCATGTGCAGCAATAGCAGTTGATGAATTTGTTGCCTCTCAAACTTGCCGTGATAAAATGGTACTCATGATTTAAGATTCATATTCTGATGACGAAAGTAGGGGAGAAGATTCAAATGTCGACGACAAATGAAGTGGACAGCGGTGGTCAGCGGCATGGCGGTGCCGGTGCTTCTTCGTGTTTTTTTTCAAGATCATGACAACATTATTTTAGCCACCGAGACCGTTCAATATTTGGTAAGCTTTAAGGAATTAGTTGGGGAATTCTAGAATGTTAATTTTGTGGATTTTATCAGCTTCTTTTGCTGGATTTGAATCAATCTTTGGTCAATTTAGTGTCTGAAAGATAGGATTGCTTATATTTGTTTTCTTTAATTTCAAACGGCAAAAGTAATGTGGCGAAATGGAAATATGGTAAATATGTATAGTTAAAAATATTCACTGGAGTCTCAATCTTCTGGCCAAGAATATAGCTCAAAAAGATTCACTGGGATCTCAATCTTGTAGCCAACAATCTTACTGTAAATGAGATATGGGTTGATGCATTTTTAAATCTACTTCACATCTTAATTAACATCTCTTAATCATAATGCTGCTTATCTTTATTATGTTAACAACCACTTGGATGAACAACAAGCACTGTGGCAATATTATTTTGATGTTATATTATGGTATCACTGGCTCAACCATGATAGAAAGGGCCTCATCAACTGGAACTCGACAATTGTAATTGTAAGTAGTCAAGGCTTCATTTGAATGTGTTATCATGTTCTTCTTTCTATATAATATTAGAATGAGTAGAAACTTGAAAATAGTTTGCATAAAGAAGTCATCAAATCGTTTATTTATTTCTTAAATAGTACAGTTTTTTATTTTATTTTATTTTATTTTATGGAGCTATGCTTCAATGGATTCTATGCACCTCGGGAACGATAACACATAGCTTCACTGTGAAGGAAGTGATTATATTGAATGTGGGGTCTTGAAGAAGTTCAAAGACAAGATGTTTGAGTTCCAGGTAAATTGGATACACGATATAATGGAAAGGTTTCAATTTCTTCTTTCCATTTCTCAATATCTCTTAATAATATTTTTCTATTGGGTTTAAGACAAAATATCCATCAGGAGTATCGTGAAGTTGTCAAGAGGTGTGTCTTCACAGGTTTTAACCCTTATTATATGAAATGAACCTGTGCAACTCTGTGTAATAGCTTCCTTTCTCTCTATTCAATTAACAATTTCTTTTTTCATGAACCTCAGTAACTGGAAGTCAAGTTAATGAAGAGGTAAAACCTACAACCACATTTTTATTTCTAATAATTTAGAATGTCGTAGACAGGTCTCTCATTGCTCAAATGTTTTGCCTCAGACAATTGATAGATTGTTCGGAACTGGGGATAGTGAACAAATTCTTATGACATTGTTGGTATGTGTTAATTCATGAAATGCCTATCACGAAGATTAACTGAAATTTGTACTAGTTTCTTCATTTTCTTGAGTTGGATGGACATGAACATATTGTCATATTGTTGTATGAGTGTATGTACGATTTTGGATATATTATACTACATTGCATGATTGATTGTGTTCCTATTTTGGCATCACATTTATAGTATGAAATGTAGCTGTCCATGTCGATAATTGCGAACCCTTATTTTCGAATTACACAAACTTCCGAGTTCTTCTCAAATATGGAATTTTGTAGAACAATAGGTTGATTGGGAATGAAGTTTGTTCTTACCCTTCTTTGGTTTTGTAAACTTTGTTTATTTTGTAAAACAATACTTTGATTGGTGGTTGACTGTGGGTTGAAGTCTGTTTTATTCATTCTAGAACCTGATTACCAAATATTATCAGAATACGTGTGTATAGTGGAACTTTATTGGATGCCATTGGTATTGTTATTACGATATGTATAACCTGACCGTTGTCTTGAAATTTACTCTGATACGTAACCAGATGAGGATGACACTCTCTTCCATTTTTAAATGGGTTAGACACATTAGGCGAATAACCGTTTCAACGAGGTTTGAACCTAGGCTTCTTATGGCATATATGTCGACAAATAACACAATCTCAAGTATATGTCGAGATTAACTGTCGGTATCGACAAATGAACTGTCCATACCGACAGTTGATGTCAGTTTTTCTTGACAGTTTACCTTACTATAGGCATGAGTTCGATTCATTACGTGTTACACTTCTATGTTTCATCATGATTTAATCTGTGTTTTTCTCGCTGTACTTTGTAGGAGAAATGAAGTTTGAATTCCTCATTCTAGAAAATGCCCGATTGTGGGCTCACATTTCACAACGGAGCAACTTGAAGTATGTGAAGACGGTCATGGAGACCTTCGACAATTGACAGTGTGAGGACTTTCGAAACTCCTGCCTCGACTTCCTAGTCGAGGTGTCTGAAATACAGTTCTCTGCACAGTTCATCCAACAGTTGGTATTCAAATATATGATTTAAGAGTCACATGTTGGTAATGTAGAGCTCCATTACGACCCAGTGAATGAAACACTGCATGAGATGTATGTGGCTATGGAGGATTCGTGACTGATTACGAGAAACACTTGTGGACATTAGGGAAAAAAGTGCAAAAATGTCCTTGCAAAATTCGTGATACATGGTTTGTGCATTTTATCCATTGGCTTTGTATTTTTACCCTGTTGGGGCTAATTTATGGCATAATATGGAACAGTCGTTGCAGGAACATGAGCTCCTTCAGATGAGGCGTGCTGGCATGCCATGTATGCAAGGTAGCCTGAAGCACGACATTGCACTGTCGAGGGAGAAAATGAACAGTTACAAAGCGTGCCGCGTCAGGACTACGGGCCCATATTGTTTCTTGGAAAGTGGGATACTATCGTTCAACCTTTTGGCTCAAGTCCATTATTAGAGGCCTGGCCGTTGGATAGTAGTTGAAGAAATTGTACCTTTGCATCTGCCAAAGATGTTGCCAATATTATCTATGTGCTAGAAGTTGGTCTACTGTTTCTTAGTTGAATGTTGTAATGCGATAATTGAATATCAGTAGTGTGGGATTAGTGCATAGCGAATGCATGGATTTTGCAAAAAATAAATGGTTATGTACACTATAATTTGTTTTGTAATGAAGGTACAAACATGTTGTGTTGGAGTTCATAGTTTACTTGGAACATATTTTCTTCTTTTCGGATCAATTACAAAGTCGTTTGTCAATGATGATTGGGTTAAGATGACGAGCCATTAAAATTTTTCCATTTTAGAAAATCATGCTACAATTAATTCACAAAGACGTTAATGTGACTTTTTTTTTTATTAGGTTAAGATGATGAGCCATTTTTATAATTATGCTAAAGCCATGACAACCATTTTACAACTAATTCACAAATTGCATAATGTGAGTTGTAGGAAACTTGAATCCATTGTTCACATGATTTAAGGGTCACAATATCCTAGTAATTATGGGAAAATAGGGGATATGGTTATTTTATTGAACTATCACACCAACTAAATTTAGATGAGGACTTGGTGGTTGGATAGTAAATGAACATAATTGGTTCCTCTCTTCAAGTTGATTATAAATAGCATGTTGTCACTGTCAGTTATAAATAAAACACTTGTGAGCATTGAGAAACTTTCAAGTTCTCACATACACAAACCGTTTCATCAATTGCATTGCGTCGATATAATGAGTTCGTCCACGGGAAGCAACGAAATGTTCATGCTGATTGAGCCTTTGCCACTTCTCGATTCATCCTCGTTATTTTCAATTTATATTTCGTTGGACGGTTAGGAAGTTAACCCTCATATTGGTAGGAGAGTCGTTTCCACTGTTTCTTTTCCCAACCTGGATGAAGTTGCGACTGAAGGGGTATAGTCTCTGAATGGTGTGCTCGATGTGATGTTGGAGGTCATGGTTCGGTAAGAAGTTGAATTCAACAACAACGACTGGTCGGCGTACATCCCACAAAATGAGGTAATTGTCATCTCATCAGATAAGTTAGATGAAGAGAGCAGGGGGAGAAGGTTCAGCTGTTGATAACGAATGAACTAGATAGCGATGAAATGTAGTGTAATAAATTTTGTATAGTCTTTTGTTTTGTAGGGATGAATTTGGTAATGTTTTTATCAAAAAATCAGCACGAGCATGTCCCTTATGCCTTTCCCGATGCAGTGTATTTTTGTACTCTAGTCCAAGTGTCGAAAATGACATAAACAATTTGTTGGGAATGACAAATGAACTGTCAGTTTGTAATGCAGTATGTCGTCTATGGCTACGTATTTTGCTTGTGAAGTTGAACATGTATTTGCCTGTCTGTGAATGATAATGGATTGTGATTATGACGATGTAAGGTGAAAACAATAATGTAAGTTGATAATATGTTGGAGAACACCGTAAGTTGAACGGATGTTACGACAGGTATTACGCTTCAGTCAAATATTCAATTTATAAGCATGAGAAGCAATAACGATAACGAAAAAGAGATTATTTTGCTAATTTTTCCTAAAAGTTCAATAACCACTCCAATTGTGAAAATATTAAAAGTATTTCAATCAATTTTCGTAATTGTCATCCTCCTTATGTTCTTCGTAGTAATACTATTTAATGTTAGTGGTATTTATCATTTATGCGTCACTTGAGTCCACTATTTACAATTTACAAACTACAATTTCGTTGTTGGGGATTAAAATTATTATTTTGAGCGGATTGTGATTGAAGGTTTTGAAGCAATAGGTCGAATTATTTTGAACAAGCATAGAGTTGGAGAGCCTTTTATACATTTTCGAAGAATCAGCAATTTAAATTTTTTGACACGTTCTGTACATTCCATATGTCTACATGTAGATCCACGTAGTACCAAAAATAGAAAGGGTGACAACAGTTTTTAGGTGTCAAAATCGACAATTAAATTGTCTATCATGCCAGTTACTAAATGTCAAGTTTGACAGTTAAAATGTCTAACCTGACGTTCGAATATACTGTTCGACAATTGAATTGCCATTATTTTCGAGAAAGCTTAAAAACATGTGTTTGATTGTTTGGAAGAAATTATTGAAAATATTAATGGTGATAATCAATTCTCAACTACATCACAATATCTTTCCACAAATAAGGAAGGAATAACTCAATGCTTCATTAAATATGAAATCCTTTACATTTTTTAGAGGATGTTGGTATTTTTTCCTTAAAAATATATCAAAAATAAAACACACCAATGAATAAGAGATTCAAAAAATTCAATTAAATATGACAGTATTGTATTAAACATTTAAAGTAGTAAATTATGACATGAAAAGATAATTTTTCTAGTAGCTCTTATTTGAGATTGATCAATAGCTTTCCCTTGTTAATGTTGGAATGAAGATGGTGAAGAAGAAAGTAATGTTTGTATTCATAGGTGTTTGTGAGTTTTTTTTTTCACCTCTTTTTTTTAACAATAAAAAATATTATACAATATAATATGAATATCTTAAATGTTTAAAATACATAAAACAAATCATCACATCACACCATTAATTGCATTCAAATTAAGTGTTTATTATTCCAAAAAAGGTGTCACAAGGGATAAAATGGACATTTCGTAGAAAAAGTGACATTTTTGGAAGAAATTGGTGTGCAAATGAATTTTTTTTTATACATTTTCAATTTTATTGACATTTATGTAAATTCCCCAATATTCAATTTCCTATATCCCATTCTTTAGGGAATCCACCTACCAACATATTTGACAAATGTTTTCAACTAGTAGTCTTGACCATTGATGAAAATTAATCCAATGGTTTACATAAATCATCATTTTAAAATCCTTGTAACCCCATCCAAACACACTAAACTTATTGCCAATTGCCAGTGGTGAGTGATATGGAAGTGACGACGTCGATATGTGGTTGTGGATGCAGCCAGTGAGATTCTTTGGTCGCTGGAGGTGAGAGGTTTCTGGTTGGGAAACTCACGCCATTGACTCAGGGCTAATGGGATGGATAGTAATATGGACCATGTGAGGGTATGGACATCCTTATGGATTCAAAATTATTTACTTCAAGCACAATCCTAGTAATATTAGATTAGAATTAGTGTGTTTGGTTTTGCGTATAAGGATATTAAAAGGATAATTTACACGAATCGTTATATTAATTTTTATCAATGGTCAAGACTAATTGTTTAAAAACCTTTGTCAAATCAATTATGCTACAGTGATATAATGATTGATAGTGACATTGATCCAATAATTGACATAATATCCCGTGACGTTCTATCATTAGATTGTGAAATTTATTTAATTTTTTTATCGATAAATGTGAATTGTTTTGATAAAAAATATGTACAAATGCACCGAGCATTTCTAGGCTTACGAATCCAAGTCAAGTAAATATACAACTACACCAAGCATTCTTGGGCAAAATAAAATATGGATAATCAAATACAACTAATACAAACTAAAGACCCATTGCCAAGGACTCACAATTAATCAAAACATTTGAATACAAAGAAAACATAATTTTGTATACGTGTATTTTGATTCGTCGAACAATACTATCAATAAGTGGTTTAACATAATAAAAAATCCTTCTATTTCTTGTCATCCAAATGTGGTAAACGGTCGTAGTAAGTGCAATCCGCTTAACTTTGCTATGTCAAGAAGTACCCCTACTTTCCTTTTTAATCCATTTCACAACACTGGAAAGTGTAGACATAAATCACCCAAGACCCACCCATCTGCGTAGGGTTGGGCAAAACCCGACTCAACCTGATCAACCCAAACCAACCCGATCGGTTTTGGTTGGTTTTTTAAGTTCAATTCTGTTGGGTTTCGTGTTATGATTTAAAACTCAACCCAACCCGATGAATTAAAAAAATTAAGATCTAAAATAAAAAAAAAACATAAATAAACACAATAGTAAAGATATGAGAAGTTATAATTTATAAACGTCCATTTTTTTTAATATAGATTGATTCCCATGAACACAATGTACAAATAAAATATTATTTGATAATAAAGCAAAAATTAAGAAGATGATGAAATGAATAAATCCCAAAAAAAATGTGTAAAAAAAAAATCATAAATTTTAAACTTATTTATACATCATTTTTCAAAAAGAATTCCTTGCATAGGTATTTAAAAAAAAAAAACAGAGATTTTCAAGTAATTTCAAACTTTAAAAATTTATCTAAATTTAAGAAAAATATAATCGGATCCAACTTTAATTAGGTCGAAGCCCAAACCGACCAACCCAATCCAAACTTGGGTTAGGTTTAAATCATTAATTGGGTTGGGTGGGTTGATTTTAAATAAAACCGACCATGTTGGGTTGGCTTTGGATTGGGGAAAAAATCGGCTCAACCCAACTCACGCCCACCCCTACATGTGCGAATAAAGAGGCTTTGTTTGTCAATTTTTATCCAACATTATTTTTTCTATAGTTCTCATTTTCAACCATACATTTTTTATTAAAATAATATTACATGTAAATAAAAAAAAATTTTCTTCTTTTTTAACCACACATTTCAATATCAATCACTATTTTATAATATATTATCTACAAATAATGGGGCACGAACACCCCCCCTTGAATTGTGAATTTTGCTACTTGTACACACGTTACTCACATGAAGGATGACGGAGGGATCCACAGTCCAATGAAAAAAAGCATGCCCCCCCCTTGTACGAGAAGTTTGCAGCAGCGCGATTGTTAAATTGTTTAAAGTACAATCACATTTCTCATCCCATCACAAAATGCCACAATGTCTTCAATCAAATAATCCAGCCAAATTCTTCTGCTAACGTGACATTTTCCATGACTTTGATACGCGAAATGCTCCACTACTTTAAAATCTATTACTAGGGGAGATGACGTTTGACAATTAAAAATTCTTGAAGAAAAACAAGAGCCACCACATTTTTTATTTTTTTTTCAAAAACCCGAAAATTGGCAATCCCATCCAACAAAATCTCACCAAGTAAGAATTTCCTTATCATGCATTCGTTGACTATTCCATATTAGAATTGAAATTTGCCCTGTCCCGTATTCCTTCGTGTCAATTGTCAGTACAAACGCATCACAACGTCTGAGGGGTGGTGAGCGGTGTTGTAGATCGGCCTCAGAGAAAAATTCTCACAATCTGTGTAATTTATAGTTAATTAATGATTGATTGACTTTGGCACTTCGCCTACGAACATCAAGATTTAGAGGGGCTGTTTATTTTGGATCTAAGAATCTTCTACCAAGAAATCCTGACAGAATGAAGTAAGATATTCGATTCTTCCCATGTCATCTTCTTTTGCTTTATGGGTTTTGCTTTTAATTTGTTTTTTGTTTTTGTTTTTTAATAGGCGAATTTGTTGTAAGTGTTCTTGTTTTTTCTTTCTTTCTTTTTATTTATGTTTATTGCAGTTGATTTGTGATTGGATAGTGGGAGATTAAATGTTTTATACTAGTTTGTTAAGTAGATTAAAGTTTTATACTACTTTATTAACTGTTATATTGGTATTTATGAGGCATTCAGTTAATTTTGCAAAACAACAGATATTAGCTGTTTGATAGTTAGATTCAAAAGATTGCTCGATTTTTAAGTAATCTTCTTTCGAGGAAAAATGGGAAGGAAACTAGTGATATGACATCCGGAATACTGATAGTTGAGTTGTGGATTGATCAACGTTTATTCTCTTATAGCGTGTTTGGTGGGGACTATTGTATGGGAAAGACGTCAAACTCGTTTATTGTACTTCCAATCTTGTGACACTGCGTACCCAATATGTGCTTTATGTTTTGTGAACAATTTTTTTGGTGTTTAGGTTTCAGAATCTATGTTTTTTTGATGAATCTACAGGTTCTAAGTTGGTTATTGCTTAATGGTGCTAGTTTTGTTCTGGATGTATTAGTGGATTCCCTCCACGTGTTTTTATTGTGGTACATCTATTTGAAACCAACAAAGTATGTTGTTAGCTTTAGTAAATTAAATTTCGACCTATGCTTTAATAGCGCAATCTTGTTCGAATTTTGAGACATGAAAATGTTACAATTTAGACTTTCTTTATAGCAGTTTTTGCGTCTGTGTAAAGCTTGAAACTAAGCTATCATTTACCTTCAAAACCTCAAATGCTTCTGCTTAAAAAAATTGAGTCATGTTTTACTAATCATAAAACATAGTAAACACATTTTAACCCTGAGGGGTAGCTCAATATCAGGCCTTGAGTTTGCTCCCCAATAGTCACTAGTTTGAGTTTCCTCAGACCATTGAAGTAAGTACCCGACTGTAAACTTCAGGATCTCGCGAGATTAGTTGAGGTGTACGTAAACTGGTTAGGACACTCACGATCATAAAGCACAAAGTTTACTCTACCTCCTATGCAATAACATGCTAGCAGACATTTCTGGTGTTATACTTCCTACTTTGGAGACTCACCCTTGTATCAATTTGAAATATGCAACTAACAAACTGATTTTATGCCCCTGTTTGGTTTAGTTAAAAATATGATTTTTAGTAGATTTTGATAAAAGTTGTTAAAATGTGTGGTTGAAAAGTTGTAGTTCCCATAAAGTGTGTGGTTGAAAATAAGTTCGAAGAAAAATGAATTTTTGAAAATGGGAGCCAAACAGGGGCTAATTGGATATTCACTATACTCTTTGATGAGTCGAGAAACTTAACATTTCTAAAAGTAAGAAAAAGTTTAATGTTCTATAAATGAAATAGTCAAGGTCACCCAATTTCGTAAACCTATTTGGTAGTAAGTATCGATTGTTTTTGCTGAAATGGTATGTATATCTTATTCAGTTTACCCAGTCTACTTTTTGTATCAAATTGAAATTGCAACTATCAACCAACTGATGAGTTTGCAGACTTCAAGTTGCTAATATAGGAAAGAGTTTGAAGATCACTAAACGAAATAGTTGAGGTTGATGACAAGGTCGCAGAGCGATTTAATATGACTGACTGATTTGTTTGCCTATCAGGATATTTATTTTACTTATTCCTTGTTATATGCTATCTATCTTTTGCCCTTATCATATTTTATATATAGAAGTTCCACATTCAACACTTTCAAGATTATAGATGCCAATGTCTATAATTGTAGTTTTCATTCCTATCGTAATTTGAGATGTTTACATTGTTTTCTCTGATATGAATTTAGAATATTGTTTTCTGATACGGGTTATATTCTCATATCACAGAACCAAAAAAATTTTAGGCATCTCTGTCTCTTTAATTATCATCAACTTGGCCGCTATAATGGAACGAGCTGATGAGAATCTCCTTCCGGCTGTTTACAAAGAAGTCAGTGAAGCTTTTTCTGCTGGGCCATCTGATCTTGGATATCTCACATTTGTACGGAACTTTGTACAGGGACTGGCATCACCTGTCGCAGGTATTTTAGCTATCAATTATGACCGCCCTACTGTACTTGCAATTGGCACCCTGTGCTGGGCCTTGTCGACTGCTGCAGTTGGTGCAAGCAAGTACTTTTTGCAAGTTGCATTTTGGAGAGCAATAAACGGCTTTGGACTGGCAATTGTGATACCCGCACTTCAGTCTTTCATAGCGGATAGCTATAAGGATGGTGTACGAGGTGCTGGATTTGGGTTTCTAAATCTTGTTGGTACAATTGGCGGCATAGGAGGTGGAGCTATTGCTACCATTATGGCCGGTAATGATTTCTGGGGTGTACCCGGATGGCGGTGTGCCTTCATCATGATGGCAACCTTGAGTTGTTTAATCGGGTTTCTCGTTTTTCAGTTTGTTGTCGACCCAAGAAGAATTAGCACTGATCATGATACGGGAAAGGTTTCTGATCGGTATGACTTTCTATTCGTTTACTTTATTAACATTATACATTCTCGTGCTGCATTGCAAATGAGAATTTTCGTGCTTCAGGGATAAGTTGATAGACAAAAGCAATACCAGTTCGGTAACAATTTGGTCAGAGTCGTGGGTAGCCATGAAATCTGTCATGAAAGTGCAAACATTTCAGTTCATTGTTTTACAAGGTCTTGTTGGTTCAATTCCATGGACAGCAATTGTGTTCTTCACCTTCTGGTTTGAACTAATCGGTAAGCTTTTCTTCCTTCATACGATTCTTGTGCTGATTTTTTTAGTTTATGATGAAATGAATTATTATAAATTTCAAATTTTATGCCTTTAGTCTTTCCAGTCTTAAATTTTTTTCTCTGTTACTTTCGAAACCTTTGATGATGGAGAGAAAGGAAGTGATCAGAACTTAGCCATTGATTTGTTGAAATGTGGAGCCTAATCACACTGTATACTTATCCCCTCGATCATGATTTGACATGTTATTTAGCGTTGTACTTTGCTTGCTAGTTCACTAGTTAACTAGTTGCATCTATAGGTTTTGATCACAACGGGACTGCAACCCTGGTCGGTCTCTTTGCTGCTGGAGGCGCTCTGGGATCTTTTCTCGGTGGCGTAATAGCAGATCGGTTATCCCAAATATACCCTCATTCGGGAAGGATAATGTGTGCACAGTTCAGCTCCTTTATGGGCATTCCGTTCTCATTGTTCCTTCTCCGAGTTATCCCCCAGAACGTGAGCAGCTATTATATATTTGCTGTCACACTATTCATAATGGGCCTTACCATCAGCTGGTGTGCTACCGCTACGAACGGCCCGATGTTCGCCGAGGTGGTCCCTGCGAACCATCGTACAATGATCTATGCATTCGATCGTGCTTTCGAGGTATCATTTTCCTCTTTCGCTGCACCAATTGTCGGAATTCTTTCAGAAAAGATATATGGCTACGATCCGAAGTCTGTCGATCCACTTTTGGGATCGACACGAGAGGCTTTTGCATTGTCAAGAGGGCTCCTTGCGATGATGGTGGTTCCGTTTGGTTTATGCTGCTTGTTTTACACGCCATTGTATTGGACTTTTAAGCAGGATCGCGAGAATGCTAGAATAGCCAGTGTAAAAGAAACCGAGATGTTGTAAAATTTTCGTTTGTTTTCCTACAGTTTTTTGGTCTGATAGCATTTTGATGTTTTGACATGGCCCAATTTTTGAAAATTGCAGCTTGTACAATGGAGTTGGTATTGTAATATAAACAGAGATGTTTTGACATTATAGTTATTGTTTAAAGAGAAAAAAATTAACATTAGTCAAGTATTAGAATTAATAGAATTAGCCTCCATTTGGCAAAAAATTTAGCCATAATCATTATTTGAAAATTCTTTTTC